CCCTGCACAGCGTCTCTTCTCACGTAGAACCTGTACTGCACTAATAGTTCAAATAATTAATAAAGCTGGTTGACTATTCAATTTGTGCACAAGAAAGTGCCAAAGCGTGCCAAAATTGAACCAAAGAAGAGGCATACTGTAAATTAATTGCTCACCTCAAGTTTATTAATTCAAAGACCTGCAATGATGATCAGTTGACATCGCGAGGGATTTCTAGGGACCCTTCATGCGAAAAACTGGCTTAATAAATAAAACAATCATTTGTTTGCTGAAACCAATTTTGTAAGAACATTTCCAATTGTTTTGTTTGATGCAGACAAGAAAATGTATGTCAAAATTGAAAGATCTCATCTTCCGCTGAAGTCAAGATCAATTGCTCGATTACCTATAATAAATGTCGTCACAAGAATTAAGACGTATCAACTGTTAAAGCTGTTAAATAAAAAAAGATGGATAAATCAGAGGAAGACCTCTACTTCATTCAACCTGGAATTTTACTAGTTGTGGGAACCAACGATTCTGATTGGCCAACCTGTAATTGTATTTTATTGAAAGTCAACAAAAAGAGTCAACACAGTCGTTTCGTCTGAGATTTGTTTAGGGTTTATACGAAGGCACAGGAAGTTTCGTTTGTAGTTTAAAACAAGTTGTCATGTTAAACATGCCTTAATGTAACCGGAATTGACATATCATGAGTAATTTAATGCTGCCACTGGAAGCCACGAAACTTTCAGCTGATCCAATGTTCACTGAGTTCAAACCTCTCATAGCACTGGCTTGTCACGCAGTAAATTTAGGAAGAACAGTGTGGTTCTGGTCCAGTTTAGAAACAAAAATGATACTCCAACAGTCTTCCAAGTACGGTTTACAAGCATTGTAAATTTACTTCAAACATTTTGCATGTTTTTACAATGCATTGGGAAAGCAGACACGCTTTAAATGATCTGCGCGTTGGAAGATTCTTAAAATATGTAAAATGTGCATTCGTTTTGCCTAAACTGTCTGAACTGTGCGTAAAATTAATGCGTCAAAGTCGTGCCTAAACTCTGCCAAACTGTGCCTGAACTGTGCATCAATTGAAGCTGAAGTTGAGATTCATGTGGCAAGTCAGCAGATTCTGGGGATATACTTCATGGGTAAATGTCATAAGTAGAACAGACGCATGAACATTTCCCCGCATTCCAAGAACAACGATGCCAAAGATAGTTCTAAACCCGGGTTCTAAACGATACTCAAAATAGAAATCAAATGAACGATAGAAATGATGTGAACATACGATAAAAACGAAACGCACGATAAAAACATTGCAAATGATAGAAACGCTCCAAACGATGAAAACGAAAGGAACCAAACGAACAATGCAAACGTTTTCACAAGCTGGACAAAACGCTGATGTTTAACGTTGAATTTCGAACCAAAACGTTGGTTCAAAAACATGAATGTAATGCTAGAAAATCAGTTTTATCTCTGCTGGTGTTGACTTTCTGTGAAAAATACGTATTCGACTTGATTCTGCAACTCATGTGCACCTCAAATTTCAAGACTTTTGTCTCAAAATTGTAACGGCAACGGAAATGATGCCAACAATTTCAAACGCGTTCACTACAGTTTTTATGGTCAATTTCCTGTGTGGTGTTTTCATTTTGTTTTCACGTGAAAGTAAGTAGATATTCAGGGATTTTCTCATTAGAAGATAAATGCACATATAATTTACTTTCATATGATGTGTCAGATTGTTACAGCTGTCCTTAAATTTTATACTCCACCTTGTTTTTTAGCGTTACATATTTTGTAACGGTTCTGGGCACCAACAGCGTGCGCATGGCCTTTTTTGATTCTCATTCTTCGTTTGGCTTTCGTAGTTGCCAAGAAATGATGAATGAAGGTTGCAGTTTGCTCTGTGTTTGACCACGAGGTTATTTTTAACAGAGAACATCATTTGCTCTTTTAACAACAATGTGCTCTGGAAATGCGCCAATGACAAAGCTTTTTACATCGTTGCTGCTGCCCAGTTTTTCGCAACATTAATCTAAGAACACCTGGCAGTTTTGGCATGTTGTTTACTCATTGCAGTGATGAAGTTTCAAGGTAATTTAGCAAGTTTACAGCAAGTAAGCAGCCCCAACAGCCAAGATAACTTTGTTGTGCTGACAAGTATTTGATAAGATTTCCAGCGAATTTCGCGGGATTTCGCCTGGTTTTGTGAATTTCGCGGGATTTCACGGATTTACTTGAAATTCATGGCTCTGTGACCACGCGAAATATCAGAAGCCCTGAATTTAGGGAGTGATTGTGGCACTCCTAATTTGAAATCAGCCTTGTGCTGCCTGGTCATCTGATTTTGAAAGTACTTGCGCAATTACTCCCTGAATTGTGCTCTACTCGGTCCAATTACTATTAAGACGTAATGAGACCTTGATATATCAATTCCTCACTCATGTCATGTTTAAGGTGGCTTACTACATTTTTGATGGATTATAACAGCCCAACTTCTAACTCTTTAAAAAATGTTCCAAGATGTTTTTCCTTTCTCTATTCACTGTTTGCTTAAGTCTTTTGCCATTCTGTGTGAAACTTCAACAATTAAAAGGCTGTCTCTGTAAAAACCGACCACTGATTTTACTTCGAAAATTCGATTTTTCTCATAAGCTGGGATTTCAAAGACCTTACCTAATCAATCACTAACATGAGTTTTATTTGATTAAAAATTCTAATTGAGGTTCTCTAGGATTGATTGAAGTTTGGTCCGCCCGACACAAGCTGCATGCCTGTCGAAACTGGAAAAATGGCACATATTGCCCGCGCTCTAAAAAAAAATAATATTTGCTCAACAGTCCCAATTCTATTTTTCAACCAGAGATATATCACAGCAGTTTGTTTAGCCATGTTGCGATTGTAATTCAATGTTGTTCCTTCAACGGTTAAAAGAAGATTTTCTACCCGTTAAATCGAGTTTTGAACCAAACGTGAAAATAGTTCTACTTTGAAGGCACATTTTAAAAATGTGGCACCTGTTTGAAACTGCTGAACTACATGAATAGAAAGTATAAATGTCCCTTAATTTAAAACAGTAATAAAATTTGTCTGCCCACTWGGTTTTCAAAACTGACGACCGCTTAAAGTTCAGGAAATTTTGAAAACATTCCAGTGAGTAACTAACACACTCGCCTTCGTAAAATGCTCTGATAAATTCACGTAAATCTCTTACCTGGCTTCAAAATTAAATTTTTGGTCCTTTGTAGCGATCCTTGAAACCTAGGTAGCATTAAAACTGCCAGCTTTTCCTTCCAGCTGTAGGTTTGTATATAAAGTACATTTATACGTTCCTCATCTGTGTCGAGTGTGACGGTAACATACTTCGATGTTCTTTGTATTACTGACCATTGTTTTCCTCGAAGCGGGTTTAATCATGTAGAGTTGTACGGCCCCGCAAATGATCCCTGCCCACAAATGATCCCTGTACCGCAAATGATCCCCAAATTGTACCGCAAATGATCCTGGGACTGGAAATCATTCTGCTGCAAAACGTTAGGAATGGTGTGGACTCCATGAAAAGTCTATGGCTGGATACATATTTTCTTAATTATCCTAGGCGAAGAAAAGACAAGTACCTCAGGCATAAAAGCAGCAATGAAAAACTTTTCTCACCCCTCGCAAAATACTAAATTGACATGTGTCGACTGCATAAATTTTTCATTAAGGAAACGCACTGCAAAAAGAAATACGAATCTTCGAAGATGCCTCTGCCATGTAATTGACCACTTAGAACTTTTCCTTGTAAACTTCTTATACCTGCATCCTAGATAGCCACTGGCTCCCACGAAAGTCTCTAAGATTCCTTCGTGCTAGTTACTGTAGTAAAAATGTAGTCAACCCACTTGAGAATTCTCAGTTGTCTGCAAATTTGAGGATATAGTGAACATCCTGAGTTATCATACATCTCAGATCCAGACCCAATAAGGTCATTCAGGGAAGGATCCAACTAAACTACAAACTTCAAACACAGGATTTCGTAATGTTGGATATCATTTTTAAAGATAATTTGGTTTTATCAGCTGGATTGATAATGTGAATTGGCCACCGTAAACAGATTCGAAAGCTGACGTTTTGAGCGTTAGCCCTTCAGATTCACTCCGATGAAGGGCTAATGCTCGAAACGTCAGCTTTCGAATCTCTTTACGGTGGCCAATTCACATTATCAACCCAGTCAATAAAACCAAATTATCTTGTTATACTCCCCACCAACGCACCACCATAGTTTGTTTAGAAACTTAGCCCCTTCTATTATTTTTAAAGTTGTGAAATTTGCATTCAAATCGTTCATCGTTCTTGCATTTCTTATAGTAACTGTTGTATCAAAATATTGTATTACTGTGAAACTCAGAAAACCATGAATACCAGAAATGTTTAAGGATTATTGTGCAGCAGGGAAAAAGCCAATTAAGGGTGAAAAAAGCAAACCGCAAACACCAGCAGTAATAGGCCACGTTCGATATATCAAATGTTGTAACATGGCTCTGAGGCTTTCAGGACAAACTTCTCTGTTTGGTGGTGTTTTCCTTGTATCCAAGTCTCTTTTGGGAATTGAAAGACAAAGGAAACTTAAAAAAATTGCAGTTTTGACCCGAAAGCCTTGGATTGATGTTAGAATATTGATATATTGAACCTGGCCTATTGGTTGTCGTTTTGAGGATTCCTCGCCTGTCCTGAACTTTATAGTGATTGGTTCAGTTCCAAATTAACCTTTTGGAATCAAATCCAAATGTCCACGGTTTTCTGAGTTTCACAGTCAAAAAAAAAAACAAAAACGATTGCATAAATTTAATTAATAATGGATAAAAACTCTAATAAACTACAGGTTCGAATAAACTACATAAGTCAAGAAAATGCCTGATCCATGAAGCCAAGATTGAAATGAATGCTGGGGCTCTTTAATCAAGAAAATATGGTATGAGAGGTGTAAATATCTGTGGACAAATGTTTTTGGGCAGATTTGACAGGATTTGCTAACAAGTAGCTTTTGTTTTTGCTTTTGTATTTTTAAGCCTATTGCATTAAGTCAAGTTGGTGGAGCTCCAACTATAAAACGAAGCCAAGTTAGCATCCTACAACGGATCAACATGAATGCAGTCAGAGGATTAAAGCTTGATGTACCAGATGCTTTGCAGCGTTTGACAAAGCTTGAACAAGCTGTAAATGGAGTAGTTCAAAGACTTTTAAACTTTGTCACAGTCACATGGAGGAATCCCACTGTTCTCAAGCCCCAGCTGGCAGATATCAGGGACATTGCTGGTAAGGCAAAGGTAGCCTTGAGATTATTAACAGAATTTGCTCTCAGTTCTCTGGTCAATGCAAGAAATCTTCCAAACCAGGAACTTAGTGGGAAGCTAAGCAGAGCAGTTGAGCCATTACTGGAGACATATTATGCAGTGAAGTTGGCATTGCAAAGACTTGACAACAATGGCTGGGATGTTGCTTTGGACAAAGGTGACAGAACACATGATGAACTTGATCTGATTATGGTTCACATCCGTTCTGTTCCTGAAAACTCACAAATTTTAGCAGCAATCATTCGTACTGCTGCAACAATACTGTACAACACTCCATCCAAGAAGAACAAAGTAGAGCCCACCTTGCACAGCTCTAAGAAATCAAATGAAGAGTATCAAGCTCAAACAGTAAAGAAAAGCAAAATGTCTGTGGTGGAATCAGAACAGTCAGAAGTCATCAAAGATACTGTTGATACTAATTACAAACCTTCAGCTAACGGTGGGAAGTGGAGTCCTTCAACTGTGCGTCGTGTCTGTGGGATGGACACACCCAAGCGGAATAGTAATGACAGTGAGAGACTTGCTGTTGGAGGTGATGAAGAAAGCGTGGCACCAAAGCTTCCATTACGTTTGCAGTCAGTTAAAGGCAAACAGATAGATTCTATTTTAGAAGACTCAAAATCCCCGCCACCACCTCCCCAGAGAAAAGACAGCAGTGAAAAATGTCAACATCTGAGACAGAAAAGCATCGATAAGTTTCCTCTTGAAGCAGCAAATGGGGAAACATCAGGACCACCTCCAAAGCCAAAGTTAGACAGGAGAAACACATCAAGGAAGAGTTACAAGATTCCTTTGTATTCCGAGCAAAGACATGATACAGGAGACATTATTTGGCGAGAGCATAGGAGTGAAACAGAGCCATCAACATCCAGACGGAAATGCAATTCAGATCCAACACAGTTACATGATCACAAAAATACAGAAGAAGACCAAACATCATCAGAGAAACACAAATTAGCTACTTTGGTGAAGCAGAGCACAGTTCACATCTCAGACTCAGATTTGCCACAAAGTTTAAAACAATCAAAGGATGGCCAGTCATGGGGCATCAAACTGGAAGAGAGAGGAAATTTGTGCTTACATGGTGACAGCTCAGTCAATAAACCACTGCAGCATCTTTTAAATTTGAGGAAAGACAATGGTACATCAAATGGATGTATGGTGTCTTTGAATGATCGAGAACTTTTGGAATTCTATAAATATGAGATCGATGCACAATTATTTGTGTTGAGTGAAGCTGTGAAAGGTTTTTTTGCTGTTATTGACAAGAATGAAAGTCCTAAGTTGTTCGTGTCCAGTAGCAAGTTTATTGTGCTGAGTGCACATAAATTTGTCTACATTGGTGACACTTTAAGTAAGAGAATTAAAAATGGTGATCTGAGGAGCGAAGTAGCAGCTGTGACTAATAAACTGTCAAACTGCATCAAGAGTTTAGTGACTGCAACAAAATCTGCAGCACTGCAGTATCCAGCGTCGAATGCCATGCGTCAGATGGGTGAAACTGTTGTTGTTGTTAACAATGTTGCAGTTGAACTGTATCAGATTGTGAAGAAAACCACAAAGAGTTCCCAGGACAACTTTGGGCACAAGCTGTAAAGGTGCCTTGGACTATCTTAGTTTGTTTTAATGATACAAATGTTAGGAGTCAGCTATAACTTAGATGATCTCCTTGAATGAAACTTGAAACAGTTTTAGAGAATGCATGTAGGAAAAACAAACACTTAAACTGAAATTGTACTCCAAACATGAAGCAAAAAGATTTTTACTTAACAAAATACTGTTTAGTAGAAGTTGATTAGCCCCATATTCACTTTTAAAGAACGAGAATTAGACAGTGTTTCGACCTCTGGTTCAGGTCTAATTGACCTCTGGTTGGGGGTTAAATGGTTAGGGGCTAATCAACTTGGGGGTTAACGATTGGTCACCCTTGTAGCAATTTAACACCAGACGTTACCTGATTCAAAGTCTGGCCAAGCAGTGGGTAGCGTGGGTCAAAGACAGTCTGCTCCGACAGTAGACTACAGAGGATTTTATGACACGCCCAGTTGCACTTGCCTAGTTCCTGTATGGCTTTCTCCTAGGCCTTCACGGTCAATTGTTTTCGGTTGCCCATCTGGGATGACGTCACTGGAAAACGATTGCCTGTGGCAAAATATTGAGGCCTAAGAACTAGGCAACAGTTGCATTGCAAGCCAAGGAGAGGGTAGAGCTGTGTGTGTGGGTTTGGGGGCTGGGTATCATTTGCAAGAAAACACACTAAAACACACTTGCTTAAATACGAACCAGAATGCCCCGTGAATGCCTTACAGTATTAATGAACATGTTGCTATTACAGCAAAGACTTTTGAATTCCTTGTAAATACTTTATGAGTTTTTAAATTGGCCAAGCTAAGGGTACCTTTGTTAGTTAGAAATCCTATATTCGTCATTATTTTCTGATTCTTTAAAATGCCCAAATAAAACAGTCCTTTTTAACTTTTGCCTACGTGAATATGATAATGAAAAGATGATTCATAATGATCCCAAAAAATGGTATTCCTTTTGCTAGTTTAATGATTTCTTGTGTGTAGCTTTTAAGTATCCTTAAGAAACTGAACTTGAGAATAGTCGGCTTCCCAGATTTGAGAGATTTGTAACGTGATAATGATGGAGGGATGTATTTCCAACTAAAATGTTAAGAATTTTATAGGGAGTGTGTTCAATAAGGACAACCTCTAACATTACTTTTTCCAGTAATTTCTCTTCCACAATAATCAAATTGCCTTGTCTTATCCTTGATCACTCAGCTCTTTATGCATAAGCTAAGTTTCATATGTTGTGGCATTAAATACAAGCCGTTCACGATCGGTGCAATTTTTGTTACTCTCAACTTTATATGTTTATCATATCTTAGTACACTCAATGTTGAGATTTGACTACGTTACTGTTAGTGAATAGTTTGTTACTTTTTGTAAATTTGTAGTTTCACTAAAACTGATTTGTAAAAAAGGTTTTGAATTATAAAACTGTTAACTTGGATTACACACTTTTCTTTTACAAGACAGCTTGAAGATTTGCTCGATACTATTGTGAGAAATTCAATTTTACTGACAAATTAAATGATAGTTGAAGGACTGAGGGCATGGACATCCTATGATAAATTTCTCGATCATTTCAGCTACATGAAGTGAATTTCCAGCAACAATTTAGTAAGTTGTGTGGTTTTATCTGACAAGCTGAGGAGACTGTTGTTATACTGTACATTGTTATTAACCCTTTGACTCCCAAGCATACATATACATGCGCTGACTGGTCATGTTCTTTGTACCACTTGTGACGTTATCAATTGAAATGTCACCAGATATTCTTGATAAGCAGATAGTAGAGCTAGGATAAATCTATCTGCACAACAGTCGATTTTGGATATCAACCACATTCTTACATAGCAAATTGAAAACAACGTTATCAGTTTTGGTGCAAAAATGGTGGTAAAATGGCCCATTATACCTATAAATGATCAAGTTCCCATTTCAAGGCTTTGCCCAAAATTAACACCCAACTTTTTATGGCAGCCAGAAAGAACATGAAACGCAAAAGGTAGCGCGAGTACAAGGGCTGAGGAAAAGGAAAAGAAAGGGGCAAGAAAAAAATTCGGAACGGGTAATCACAAAAAAAACATTGTACCTAATCTTTGGGAAATTTATCTTTTTGGTAAAAAAAAAAATAGCTTTTTCAGCAGAGCTAAGGCCCATTTAGTTTCATGGCAGCCAAAAAACTGATTTAACGGTTAAAAACGACTTTTTTGGTGAAAATTTGGGAGTTAGAGCTTTAATGATATGGTAATAAGTTATGGGGAATCACTCTGGCCTGGGAAGAGCTGAAGACCAGGCGCCTGATGTACTCGTTGGGCAGGAGGGTGGGTCGCCAATCACTTTGGTTTTGTGGCCTTGAGTAGAGTGATAAGGTGGAACACTTGTAAATTCGTTATACTGTCATTTGCATAATCCCCAGGGTGTTAATTACCAATTGATGCAAATGGAGTTTGGATAGAGTAATATTCTATCCAGGGTATTAATTGTTATTAATGACATGGTAATAAGTTATGGGGAATTGCTCTGGCCTTCCCCAAGCCTACCTCCATCCTCACTACTATTATCAGCTCACTCATAAATCTCCTATTCCCATTCCTTACTACAGAGTGTGCGGCACTAAATTTTTGGGGTTCTTTTTTCTTTTTCTTTTTTTTTAAATTTTATTAGAGCACTCACACTTCTTATAATACCAGGACAACTACAAATACTAAAACATTACTTACAAACACAATGTACTAATTAAGCCGTATAACACATTACCTACAATATCATTACATAACTTACAATACTAGCTTAAACATACTATGCAATACATTTATGTTAAAATACAATCACAAAGGCAATAGAAAGTTACAAAGGAAGCGATACAATAAATAGTTAGAATACAGTTATTGTTTACACAGGGCAAAGTGTCCCCCATTTTTTAATAAATTGATCTAAAGTTTTGTTCTTAGTGCAAATATATTTTTTTGTTTCAATTTTAATTTGGATCTTTATCTTAAACCCTGCTAAGCTTGGAAGTATTTGAGATCTTCTGCAATCCCATAGATATAGTTTGGCTATCAACAAGAAATAATTTAGTAAGCCGGGCATTCTGAAGTTATAATACCTATTAATACATCTCACAAGCTAAGATGAACGGATTCTTTTGATGAAGAGTAAAAGTACAATTCAAAATCTTTCCAGAAAAGCTCTGAGTATACGCAGTTAAAAGAAGGTGCAATAGGGTTTCTGGTTTAGACTTACAAAAAGAGCATTTATCGTCTGTAATGGATCCTATCTTATGTAATTTGCTATTGGTATATAGAATAAAGTTAAGGACCTTATATTGAAAGGCCTTAACATAAGCCTCAAAACACACAATATGCAGCAGAAGAAACTCTTTCCTTAATTGATCCTCATTTAAGTTGCATCGCGTTTCAGAACTAAAGAATTATTAGAAAATTGTGCTTTTTCACTTATTAACATTGTATAATAGTCTTGATTTTTTTCATGAGAATATCAAAAACATTGTTGTCAATAATCAGAGGGTGGCATTGTTAAAAAGGTGCAATTATTTGTCTTGGATTTTGAGATTAAGTGGGATGGTACGGCATTCCTGAGACCTGCCCATACCAAAATATTTGCTTTTTTCATCTTTTTTGTAATAATAGTATAGGACTCTGTAATATTTAAATCAAATCGAAGGCCATTCGCATGCGTAATACCAGACTCAAAAAACGTCTTATAGAATATTGGTTTATTATCTATACGAATGTCTTTGTTATTCCATATTATATTGTGCCACGGTTTCTCTGCAGAAAACTCGTCTCGAAAATCCGCCCACCACTGAAGCAACTTGGTATAAAATTGAGAAGAGATTGTAAGATCCTTTGTATTATAATTGCAATGAAATAAGAAAGGGCCGCCAAAACGTTTTAGTATATGATGTAAGTAATTTTTCCATGTGCCGTCGTTTTCGTTGAAAATTCTCTTTAGCCAGGCTAGTCGTAAGCATTTGACCATTGTTTCTAATTCAATCATTTTTAGTCAACTCTTTTCATAATCATTTATTGTTGACAAACGTGTGACTTTGTCTACGCCTTTCCGTAGAAATTTAAAAATCAATCGGTTCAGTTCTTGGATATGTGAGGAGAGAAAATTAGATGATTAAGTACGTTTTACATATTCGCTTTCGCTATGAGAAAATATAGAAATCCAACATAGATATGTTTGTTTTAGTTCGTTTTGCATTTCGGAGTTACAGGTTACTGTTCCAGTTCATTGACCGAAACAGACACCTGCTAGTTTGTTGTGGGATCATAACTGTAATAAGCGTTGAACTGTAATTGCCACCTGCGATAGTCTTTTGTTGAACTGTTATCTACCTGTATTGTTTTGAAAGTTATTAATATTGTAAACGATGAATTCCGTTATAGCCAATCGAGCTTTCTGAAATGTATTAGATAATGTTTAGTTAAGAATTTTTAATAGC